CCCCGCGACAGCCCCGCCCAGATCTAGCAGAACCGGGGGCGAACCCGGGCCGGCAGAAAGGCGGGGAGAAGCTGCGGGGTTGAAGGCGGGGCGGGCGGCTGCCAAGCCGGCCAATAGGCGGCTCTCCAGAGGCTGAGCCGAGAGGGCAGGGGCGCCGCCACCAGCACCGCTGCCTTCCAAGTTTCTCCTTGTGGGCGCGCTGCCCCGCGGCTCCGCTCCTCCTGGCGCAGAGGGGCCGGGAGAGGCCAGAGGAGCTGACTCGGGACGGGATTTCCAAGGAACGGGGGAGGCCCGGCCCCCGACCCGCTCTGGGGTGGAGAGGGGCGTCGGCAAACGATGAAGGGGCGGCGGCGGCGGCGCCGAGAGTACTGCAAGTTTGCGCTGCTGTTAGTGCTGTACACGCTGGTGCTGTTGCTCGTCCCCTCCGTACTGGACGGCGGCCGCGACGGGGACAAGGGCGCCGGGCACTGCCCCGGCCTGCAGCGCAGCCTGGGAGTGTGGAGCCTGGAGGCGGCGGCGGCCGGCGAACGCGAGCGGGGCACAGTGACGCGGCCAGCCGCTGAAGGGGGCGCGGGCCAGTACCCCCGGTCCCCGGGCAACCTCAGTGGCGCTGTCGGGGAGGCGGTGTCTCGCGAGAAGCAGCACATCTACGTGCATGCTACCTGGCGCACCGGCTCATCCTTCCTGGGCGAGCTCTTTAACCAACACCCGGACGTCTTCTACTTGTACGAGCCCATGTGGCATCTATGGCAGGCGCTGTATCCGGGCGACGCCGAGAGCCTGCAGGGCGCGCTGCGCGACATGCTGCGCTCGCTCTTCCGCTGCGACTTCTCTGTGCTTCGGCTGTATGCGCCGCCGGGGGACCCTGCTGCGCGCACCCCGGACGCAGCCAATCTCACCACGGCCACCCTCTTCCGCTGGCGAACCAACAAGGTCATCTGCTCGCCGCCTCTGTGCCCCGGCGCCCCCCGTGCCCGCGCCGAGGTGGGCCTCGTCGAGGACACCGCCTGCGAGCGCAGCTGCCCACCCGTGGCGCTACGCGCCCTGGAGGCCGAGTGCCGCAAGTACCCGGTGGTGGTCATCAAGGACGTGCGCCTACTGGACCTGGGCGTGCTGGTGCCCCTGCTGCGGGACCCGGGCCTCAACCTGAAGGTGGTGCAGCTTTTCCGCGACCCACGGGCTGTGCACAACTCGCGCCTCAAGTCTAGGCAGGGGC